TTTTTTTTATTAATTTATTTAAAAAAAATATATATTTAGTTTTTTTTTTTTTAAATATCTTCTGATCCGCGCATTTTTGCGCGAACCGCACCGGGTCCTGTGTTCGTCTCCTCGAAGAGACGGGTATTTTGAGACCTTTTTTGGTAAATTCTAACGGCTAAATTCTCGAAAAATTAATTTTATTTAATTTTTTAATTATTAATTTAAAATTTCCCGTTTTTTTTTTTTTATTAATTACGGAAAATAGAACCGAAATCCGGGCAAAACACATGGGAGAAAAGTTGTCCAAAAGAATTTTCCCAACATTCTGGGACTATAGTCGGGAAAAACGGACGCCGTTTGTAGAAACAGCGGGGACCAGCAGATAGGGGAAAAAAAATAAAGCAAAGGGGAAATTTGATTTTCTTTGTAATTTAATTATAATTAAGAGGGAAAGAAATAAAGAAAAGTGGTCCAATAGGATTTCTCTATAAGCCTTGTGGAATCTAGTGAAAAATTTTGTGCGGTAATCGGGGGGTTGTGGTGACCGTGCGAGCGCGCGCAAGACCCTAAAACCCCAATTAGAGAAACCCTAATTAGGGAAACCCCTAAACCCTAATTAGGTGAAACCCTAATTAGGGGTTTAGGAGGCAAATGCAACTTCTAATATTATAGTAAAACTGAATTTAGAAGTTACTCACAAAAAGCTTTAAATCTTGTACTTTTCCATAATTTTAAATATTTTATTGATAAAAATTAGGAAAATTTAATTAAAATATCATTTTTTCTATTTTTAATTGTATAAAATTGCTCTACCGACTCTTTCTGGCAATGGATTAAGGGACGATTGTCCCAAACCCCATCCCCACGGGGGTCGGGGAACTGCTGCCGAAACGTTTCGGATTTCCTATTTTTATGAAATTTTATCTGAATTTTGGCAAATTAATTAACAAAACTTATTAAAAATCCAGTAAAAATCGGGTAACCATTTTTTTCATTATTTCTTATATTTTTCCCCACCGGCGCCCGAACCCCATCCCAACGGGGGGAGGCGAAATGCTGCCGGAATTTTAAAAAATTTGCCAAAATTATTCGGATGAAAGATAGATCAAGAAACTTGGCATAATAGGGTGGAAACCTATCCCTATCAAGGGGAAAATAGAAAGAAGAATTATTTTGACTTTTTTTTTTTCTAATTAAATTTTGATAAACTATAGAAAATTTGAGAAAAGACGGAGATAAGAGAGAAAGACCAACGAGGGATTACAGGGAGTAACTAAATCAAGTCCCCGAAAGGTTGGAAAAAAAAAAGGGATTTTCTCAAATTTTTAGTATATTTAGTTGAGTTAATTAAAAATAAATTAATTAAAAAATTTAGGAGGAGGATAAAAAACAAGGGAGGCTTGACTCTAACCTCCCCATATACTTTCCCTTCGAATCTCTAACACTGAAGTAGAGACACCCCAATTTTGGGGTTATTCTTAAAATTTTTCCTAATTTAAGTTCGTAAAATCCTTAAAAATCTATAAACGACTTAAGAAATCAAGAAGTAAACCTGATATTTCGTAGTTGCTTTAGCTAGCTGTAGCCCTTGTGAGATGCTGGTGCGCACGGGAGCGCACTAGGAAGAATTCCCTCGAATACTGCACATGCCTTCTATTCGAGGAAAGTCGAATAGAAGGCTCGTTAACCCAATTCGAGCCGGGAATTCTGCGTTGTAGATATCTGGGCTACTTTATGATACATATAGGACATACGTAGGCAAGATTTATTCAGGGATCGCTTCCCGAACCCCATCCCAACAGGGGGAGGCGAAGTGCTGCCAAAATTGTTTTAGGAATATAGTCTCCTTACCATTATACTCTCCCTTCCAGGCGCCATAGGGTTGTCCCCACGTCCAGCAGCTAGTCGGATGCATAGGAAGATCCTGAGCAGCCGCGGGAGAGGCTTAGTGAGAGGATATCTGTATCTGGATTTAGAGACGGCCAATGGGGTCGTCTTGAGTCCCGCCACGTCAGGAGAGAGTGACATTCTCCACATGGCGGAGCGGCTTTTGCGGGTGGAGGTTGACGCTTTTCGCACAGACAACGGACGGTACCCGCTGACCTTGTTTCACGGCGGCCACCCTTGCACATTAGCGGAGACCTAGTGATAGCGCAAGACGGGTTCTTTCCGCACGCAGGGACTTGGCTGAGGGCAGTCGTTCCAGCATTCGTGGTGGATTCCGTCTTCGGTGGGATATGAGGCATAGTAGAGGCCTACCTCGAGGCTAGGAAGCTCGAGCATCTCTCGAGAGGGGAGCTGGATTCCCATTACATTTACTATTCCCTAGGGACAGTCGGGCCTCGTTGGGGAGATGAGAGGGTGCATCTCGTGGAGTTGATCCGTTCGATAGCACCATACGGGGCTGATCTCCAGTGGGGAACTCCCTCGTACGCGTCGGGCTTGCTGGACCGAGAGCTCCGAGCAGGACCCGAGTACATTACGTGTATAGGCCTCCTCGTTTTGGACGATTGGTGGAGCTGGTGGAGAGACGAGATTAGGGCACTGATACCTGAGTATCAGTTGACGGATTATTATCAGGCCATAGGTCTTCCACCATGCCGCATAGAGAACGAGCTCGACGACGAGGAGTGGGACAAAGACAACGACGAGGAGGTCTGGGAGCCTGACTGGGTCGACTCCGAGAGCGAGAGCACTGAGTCGGAGGAGGAGATTGACGTTACCGATGCCCATTTTCCCAGGATAGGGGTCGCTGTCCGGGCCTAGGAGACGGTGCGCAGAGGAGACGTGCTAGGAGTAGTGATTGAGTGGGCTTAGCGCTTAGGGTCAGCAGGCAGCAGAGCGCGATTCGATGGTAGAGCAGGTTGATAGAGTGGAGTTTCCGATCGACAATGTTAGATGGCCTAGGCCCCCTGAGACCGTGGTGTCCGACGTGCTAGAGTTCGATTTACCGGCCAGGAGCGTAGTCGAGCCCAGGCTTTATAGCAGTTGGAGATCGATACGATTGGGCCCGGACGTACACCTGTGGACGTACGTGGTTGAGACCTACGAGCCGGACAGTCAGCACTGGCGAGCGCCGGGGACGACGTGTATCGAGGCTATAAGACATATCTATCTCTCGTACTCGGTGAGGGCCGAGGTCTATTTTGAGGGATTGGTGCATGAGTTTTGGCGCCGTGAGCAAGAGGCTAGGGCGATTTTATCCGGTCAGGTAGATAGCGTCCGTGCAGATACTGAGGGATTGCACTATTCGGTTAGGGCAACGAGGACGACCCTCCGGATCGGAGGAGCCTTTCCGTTCCCCTCTGTGCGACTGCGAGTGAGGTTTCCTGCATTTGTAGTGGAGGAGCTCTTGGGTCTGACCCACATCGTTGAGACGTATTTAACTAGCCTTGAGTTGGACGGACTAAGGAGAGGGCTAGCGGACCGTGATTGGAATGCGTACGCACAGTTTATCGGAGGACCCCTTACGAGGGAGAGAGGACTCCAGCTTGTAGAGTTTATACGGGCTCTAGCGTCCTCGGGAGAGCAGGAGTCATTTTATCTGTACCAACCTCTAGACTTCTGGACCGCGCTAGAGAGAGAGGCGCAGAGACCTGCGGATTATCTAGCTGGAGTGGGGGAGCTATTCGCTGAGACTCGCGAGAGGAGACTGAACCAGCTCATTCCAAGTTGGGAGGTTGAGGAACATTATCAACGACTGTACCTGGACGCCGATGACCTAGGGTGGTACGCCGAGGATAGAGAGAGGGAGGACTTAGATGAGGTAGAGCCTTGGGGCGACCGAGACCAGGGCTGGGGAGATCTTGCGTTGGCCGATCGGGAGGAGCAGGTAGGAGGAGAGGCGCAGCTGCAGGACGTTTGGGGACACCTTCCTCAGGCTTAGGGACAAGAGGCTATCCCTTGGGGACGGGGGGTAGATGAGGACGGAGATGTGGATATGGCAGACGCCGAGAGGGATTAGTGCAGGCCGGGGAGTTTGAGAGAGTTGAAAGAAGAAAAATAAAAGTGGATGGGGTGATGAAGAGTGATGCGGATGTATGGCTGGCGTATGTTTTGACACGGGGATCGAAATCGTATAGAGCGAGGAAACTGATAGGGCCGAGAGAGACGGCAGTGGGTTACGATGTGCCACTCTCGGTACGCTTAGAGGAGATAGCGAGTGTGCCGATATATCACTTTGGTACTTGGTTAACGGAATGAGTGTTCTTGTGGAGGGTGATTACAGATGATAGAGGATTCGAATTTCCCCGACGATTGGAGGGGATAGGACATCTTGTGTTTGATGAGACACGGGATATAGAGATAGGGCTAACACTTGCGGGTGTTAGCAGAGCCTGGTGGAAATATGAGGTTTTAGCATAGGCAATAGTGAGACAGCGACTGACGTGCATTGCGAGAGACAGACCTTTCACCACCCGAATCGTGATCGGTCCTCCTCACTTGATCTACCATCCGGTAGAGAGCTGGCGGATGGTCCTACCTACGTTTGTCATATAACAAACTTACGGGAGTGTAGACTGCTTGACGAGAGCGGTCGACCACACTCTGCATGCGCTCTGGTTGGGACTAGCGCCTCGATTCCGACAGGCATACTACGCGGTCTGCGTAAGGTGGGGAGCCCCGGACGAGGAGACGCGGAGAGACTTGATCGACGCTACGTGATGGGTAGATTGTTTGAGGCCTGCAGATCTGATTTACTATTGTCGTAGGCGGGTAGAGGACAAGTACGTAGGGTTGGAGGACCTGAAATACTTGTTTTGTGCATAAGTTAGCAGAAGGGATGCCAGGTCGGACGACTACGTGGATTAATGTGAGCAGACAGTTAGTGAACGAGGGTTTTACGATTACTGTCCTACTCAGAGCGCACTTAGACGACGATCTGACAGAGCATGAGAGCTTCCTACAGGCCAGGGAGTTCATTCGTGAATACAGGTCAGAAGGTCTTGAATGCGTGACCTTCCAAACCAAGATATCGTATGAAGTGATGGTGTGGTCAGCTGGGTACTTACGTGCGGAATTGTTCTTTGTTGAGACGGTAGCAGAAGCTAGGAGTAGGGTATGAGTCGATTTACCTTGTCATGAGAGAGTGTGAGCGGCAACTATATCAATGTAGGCCTCGAGCTTCGTATTCACTCCGGTGGGACCGCGGAGGGTCTGACTCCTGGAGAAATGTGAGTGAGAGGAATCCCCGAGTTGCTACTCGAGGAGGTGAGATGAGCCGCCTCTCCTCTCTGCGACGACTTCCGTATGCTCGAGTTGTCTCGAGGCAGTTAGCATGTGACAACGAGACTCTACAGATTCCTTTGAGGGTGAACGTCGAGGAGGAACTGTCGGACAGTGAGTTCAAGGAGCTTGATGAGAACGTCATACGGGAGCAGAGCTTAAGAGAACTGAAGGAGTTGACAATACAGAGTTGGGTGGTATATGAAGTGATCATTTGCGTTAAAGGGAAAGTGCGCTTGGAAATAGTTCGAGACGATACGCCCACAGAAGCTCGGGGTAATATGTGATGGAGATGGATCGCAGGCGATGAATGATCTAGAGGGAAGGAAAAAGAGAGTCGACGAGCGAGTTACTAAATTAGTAGTAAAACGGGTTAAGGAACTCGGTACCAAGATCCAAGATTGTGCACCGAGCAAGAGTGAGAGCGAGTTGCGAAGAATAAAAGCAGCAACACGAGTATGAGAGAGGCTTCTCAAAGAGGATAGGGAATTCTTCGTAAGATGGCGTCTTGACTTTCTGGAGAGCGTAAAGGAGAGAGTTTGTAGCAGAGAGGAGCAAGAAGACTCGCTTGAGTCGACAGGAAGGACAGGTGGGTTGTCGGAGGCTGCAGCGTCGAAAGAAAAGGCGAAGGGAGAAGGAACGTCAAAACAATGATAGAAGACGATGAACTTTGAAAAATATAGTGTGTGCATAGTAGGACGGGCAAACGGGCTCATCGCTTGTGTGGTGATACAATTGTTCCACTTAGAGAGACTCAGCGTAATCGAAGAAGCGGAGTGTACTCGACGAGTTGTCTCCTTTTGGGTGACTGGACTTTGGGTGGGAGAAGAAAGCGCGCGCCTGATCGACTAATCACTGCGGGTGTCTACTTTTGGTGATCGACCCTTGAGTAGGGCGTGGCGTGAGACCCCTAGGAAGGGCAAACGGGCCCATCGCTTGTGTGGTGATACGATTGATAGAAGAAGGTGAACTTTGAAAAATATAGTACGCGCATAGTAGGAAGGGCAAACGGGCTCATCGCTTGTGTGGTGATACACTTGTTCAACTTAGAGAGACTCGGCGTAATCGAAGAAGCGGAGTGTACTCGACGAGTTGTACGGAAGGCGCGAGTGACTGGACTTTGGGTGAGAGAAGGAAGCGCGCGCCTGATCGACTACTCACTGCGCGTCTCCCTTCGGTGATCGACCCTTGAGTAGGGCGTGGCGTGAGACCCCTAGGGAAGCTGAGATACTCCTGAGGAGCGAATCGAAGGAAGCTGGAGATTTTGCAGAGGTCATAGGGGAGAGTTTCGTTCTAAGAGTGCTCCAATCGCACAACCGGTACTGGAACGAGTACCTTCAGACTTTTGCAGACATTGAAGATTCCAGCGATATATACGACTTCGAGACGTTCTACGAACTCTTAGAGGAATCCACGGACAAAGTTTTTTTGGCATTAGCCCTAATCATGGTTGAATGCTAGGTGATTCATGGAGACGGGTAAGAAATGCCACTACCGGAGGCGGAACTAGCAAGGAGGAGACGAAGATTCGGGGCTTGGAGCGGTCCTTATGAGCCTGTGCACGAGAGAGTACTTAGGGAGTTAAGCGCGATTGGCAGACAAGAAGTCTTCCCGTATGAAGTGATTAAGTATCAAGTACAGAACAGTGGGATTGAACGTAATCAAATGTCCGTACGGTTCCGTGATCTAGGAGTATACCACGTTGGTATATACCTGCCCAGATAGAGAGGAGTTCTGCATATACGGGAGAACTTGGAGAAGGGCAGCGTGGGCATTAAAAGAAGAGGAGAAGAGGTTAGAAGGATTGGGGAAGATTGTCGAGGTATGCGACGACATTACGATTTTTGACGGTCTTCCTAGGCCGCCTGTTCCGTATAAAGGGCTAGAGCAGGATGGATGGGAGGCGGTAGTGGATTTTGCTCGAACAGTTAGGACTGAAGGTAAAATCAAGAAGGCAACTAAGGACGAATAGAATGATGGAATGAGCGGAGATTCGACCATCTTAAATCACCAACCCCTTATCGGATCGGGCAGAGAGCAAACTTTGGCGCAGTGATTGAACTCGCTTTGAGGCGTCAAGCGATGGATGGCCAGAGGCGGTGAGTATCCGTTAGCAGGGGCTGGTGTCGTGCGGCAAGGGTTGAACGATCTTGACAGGAGGACATCTGTTGATCTACGAGAGCGGTTGCGAGCTTGTAGTCATGAGGAGTTACGCGCTATAGGGAGCGCGATTTGTAGGGAAGTCAGGTGTCCTGAGATGGGAGTGTTAGAGGTCAGGAGAGGTATCGCCTGTGTAGAGAGATAGGAAGGACGATTTTTCCTTGACACTGGGGTACTGGGAGTCGAGGGGACTCACGAGATACGAGACGAGAACGGGAAATTGATAGTGATACTGGGAGCGGTAGAGAGCTAGAGTTAGGTACTTTAAAGATCGACAGAGCTGGTTCTGACATTAGGTCCGAACTGCCGGTTTTAAAATTAGGTCCGGGCTGCCGGTTCTGACATCAGGTCTGGACTGCGTACAAATTCAGCCGAAAGCGAGACTAAGTATATGGAATCTGACACGATGGGACCGCGTCCGGACGAGGAACAGCAGACCGATGTATATCGAGCATCACCAGACCGCGCTCTGCGAGACCTCAAGGAGCGTCTCCGACAAAACGCCCCTTTGAGGTGCGTGGAACAACCGGACAACGGAGAGCCTAAAATGATGGAGTATCCAGTTGCCATAGAGCCAAACAGGGCAGCTACGGTAGGACGGGTGGAGAGTCGGACATAACCTCCGAGTTTTCGGCGAGAGTCGATTACTCGACGCTCGCCCATGTATGAGCGAAGAGATGATAGAGGAGACCGAGGGAGAGAAGACTGGAGGGACCAATACATTAGGGAGCAACTTTGGAGAGATAGGGAGAGAGTTGCGTCAACCAGACGGATTTTTGACCCTCATACAGGGGAATCGCACTCCCTACCATATGAGACGAGAGACAGGTTCATCATCTCGCATCAACCTTCAGAATTGGATACCAGACCTCCCGTTTTCAAGGGATGCGGTATTACCGAATACCTCGAGAAATGGGAGTTGCATGCTTACCGAAGTCAGTGGACAGAGGATGAGATTATAGATAACTTCTTATTTAACGCGGACCCGAGCTTGAGTCAGGAGATTAAAGAAGCTCGACCCAAAGATAGGCGATGGGGTACATATAAAGCCAATCTATACGAGCTCTACAAACTAGAAGATGTTAAGTATTCTATCCGAGATTTAGAGAAGCTGACTCAGGGAGAGGACGAGAGCGTTCGGGCTTTCGGAAAGCGGTTCCAGAAGGTATCTGATGCCCTCATGGCAAGAGGGAAGCTATCAGAAGTCGAGAGATGCACGATCTTTCTCGGACGGCTACCCAGAGGGAAACAAAACGCGGTATTGAGAGAGACGCCTCACGATAAGTTAGAGTTCACCGCTTTACTCAACTTGGCAATGAAGGTCGAGGCTGATGATTACAAGGATCTACTCTGAAGGGGAATGCAGCGTCGGGATTTTTCCCTCTATCGGGAGTACGAGACCGATAGGTGTCCAGACTGTAACGATCAGCCATGGGCAGAGCGACGATACTTGATGGACAGAGACGGGTCACAACGATCGAGGGACAACAAGACAGTGATGGATGAGGTGAGAGAGCTAAGAGAGATGGTGAAGGGAATGGTCAGGCAAATGGCTAATTTCGAGACGAAGGCTGGAGCGACTACATACCGGGACAAGCCCGGGTCTCCCTACTCTTTGCGGTGGGACCGTAAGAACACCGACCCATGGAGGAGCGTCGAGGATCGGAATCCTCGCACACTGGCATATTACCATGCAAGGGAGAAATATGATGATACCTGGCGACGTAGGGATGATGACATAGACAGAGATCGCCAACGCGACGGGTATCGGAGAGTAGACTCCTTTAGTCGGGGAGGCAGATTTGAGCAGTATCCGCGCAGCCCCAGGTTCGGAGGAAACACCGAAGGGTACCGGAGCCCAGACAATTTCAATTCGAGGGACAGAAAGGACTCCCGCGGCCGATGGGAATCAGATAGGGACCGTCGTGACAGATATCGCGGCGGTTATGAACGGACAGAGAGAGGTGGAAGTCGTAAGGAATAACCGAGCGGATAGTACGAACGAGGGGGATACCCTGCGTCGCCTAGATACCCTAAGTCCCCAAACTATCCAAAATCTCCTGGGCCGTCCAACCAGGACGCCAGACGACCAGCTATTAGGAGTACGGAGGAGCGACCCCCTACTCCTAGGAACTTCTGTATCTATTGCAGGGCTGATGATCACGTGAAAAGGGACTGCCTTGACCTCAGGCGAGCAATAGACGAGGGAATTGTCGTACTAGATGATCGCAAGTATGTCAAGTGGGCAAATAACCTTGGCGACGTATCGATGTTCCCTTCGATGAAGGAGAACGTTGAAGCCAGGCATGTATAACCAAGTAAGGGTAAGGGAGTCGCAAGGAGCTAGAGTGTGAGGTTGAACCTGCCTTCTGATGAGGAGGCTCCCATGACCCCTATACGAGTGGCGGCGACTAAGTCCGCAAGGGCATCCTCCTCTAAGAAGAATGACACTGATTATGTGATGACAGAGAAGGATGGGCAGAGGATAGAAGGAGAGGAAGTTATACTCTCGTCGCGCAAGCGCGGAACCAGAAAGTTCACAACGAAGAGTACTCTGGATGATATAGACACGGTCGAGCCTCTCAGGCGCGGACTTAGGCAGCCAATGCAATGCACGATACTTGAGTATTTGGCAGCCTCGAGACCTGCGCGAGATGAGTTGCAGATGATCACGCGCAAGACGCGCATTCCTCTGAGCGATGAAGTCCAAATGGCTTCCAAACAGGAGGTATTACCCTCTGTAGCGGTATCGGGTGTGATCGCTAAAGCGGAACGTGCAGCAACGGTGTTCCTACTACCCTTTGTAGCGGTATCGGGTGTGATTGCTAAAGCGGAACGTGCAGCAACGGTGTTCCTAGATGGAATGGAAGGTGTGCCTCCTTACAAGTTTTATATTCTGGGCAGTGGGACAGTACAGACTACACTCAACGACGAGGTAGTCCTTCATGCCGTAATTGATAATGGGAGTGAGGCTGTCATCATAGATGAGGAGCTTGTTGTGCGATTGGGACTGGACCTCGACAGGTCATACCAGTTCGAGATAGAAACAGTTGATGGAAGAAAGCAGAAAGTCTCTGGGTTTGTCACAAGGCGGCTATGGAGGTTGAAGGATTGCAAGTGTTGATGCCTGTTTTCGCAGTTCGGGACTGCAGCGCGGAGTTACTATTGGAGCGGACATGACTAAGCCATGTTCACGCGGTTATTCTAGAGCGACCGGACGGAAGCCAGATGCTTTTCATCAAACGTCCAGATGGTGGGCGAATTATGATGGAGACGGTAGATCCTCGTGATCCGAGGAACAAAGCGGTTTTCGCAGCAGGAAGCCGCAAGTCGGTCACCCTTGCGAGTCGCTCCTTGAACTTTCGCGAAAAGAAGTATGGACCGTTACTTACAGAAGAAGAAGGGCACATAGTAGAGGTAGAGGACTTAGGCGACCGAGTCCGTGTGGGAGGAAACTCTTATCCTAAGGCTGAAGATGAGAAATTCGGAGGAATGACCTCTGTGTTTTTTTTAAGGGCACAACCCCCTATGGGGGGCGACCCAAAAGACACAAGACAGTAGCTCAGAAAGTTAAGCTGGCGGCAGTAGCTCGAGAGCGATCCGCATTAGATGACGTGTCTGAGGAAGAAATCGCTAGGGAGATTAAAGAGAAGAAGAAAAAGGAGCCGCAACGGCTGATCGAAAAGAGGATAGCGGGGATGGACATAGGAGATGGGAATTTGACCGAGCAAGAGAAGGCGAGCGTGCTAGAAATCCTTAAGACCTGCGACAAAGCTATAGCTTTCAGTAATGCGGAAAGAGGGAGAATTGATCCTAGGTATGCTAAGCCTGCTAGGATTTACACGATTCCGCAAACGCCATGGAATGACGCAGGGTGGAAGTTTGCTCAGAAAGAGAAGGAAGAAGTGATCTCCTTTCTCAAGGAGAAGATGACGTCACATGTAGCAGAGTCATCTGATAGCGCATACGAGAATAGGTGGTGCTTCTTAAGGAAGCCTAATGAGAATATTCAGTAGATTCAAGACCTCCAGAAGGTCAATGTTGTGACGATTCGAGATGTAGGCTCTATACCGCACGCTGATCTATTAGCAGAAGGAGAGGCAGGCAGATCTATTTATTTTGTCAGCGATTTATTTTAAGGGTACGATGAGATACCACTAGATCCAAGAGGTAGGCATCTCACAGCCATGCACACGCCACTCGGATTAGTGCAGATGATGGTCGTACATACGGGATAGACTAACGGGGTAGCAGTCTTTCAGAGAGTCGTAGTAGCTGTTTTGAAAGACTTTATCCCTCATAAAGTTGAAGTTTTCTTGGACGACTTTCTGATAAAAGGGCCAGAACTGAAAGACGAAACGGAAGTCGCTCCTAGCGTCAGGAGATTCGTAGAGCAACATCTGACGGATATTTACGTTGTCCTGGAACAGTTAGATGAAGCTAACCTGACGGTTAGCGGGACGAAGAGTCGGTGGGCTGTGTCGACGATTAAGATTCTGGGGTTTATATGCGATTCGAGAGACCGCCGAGCTGACCCTGGAAAGTTAGAGAAACTTTTGAACTGATTGACTGGCCCGACTCTATTGCACAGTGCTACTGAAGTTCGCCAATTTTTAGGAGTAGTAGGCTACTGGAGGATTTTCATACGCGGATATGCTGAAAAGGCAGAACGTTTGCGGACTCTTTTTAGGAAGACGGAGAGATTTTGCTGGGATTCTCCACAGGAGTTTGCGGTACAAACCCTTAAGGAAGAATTTAAAGAGGGAGGAAAAATCCTAGGCGTACCATTTTTTTAGGACGAGACCAATAGGCCATTCATAGTATCCACGGATGCTGGGCCGTGTTCGGTTGGAGGATTACTTTCTCAAAAGGACGCAGATGGAAAGAAGAGGCCACTGAGATTCGAGAGTCGCACTCTCAACACTGCTGAACGCAACTACAGTCAGTTTAAGAAGGAGGTGTTAGTTGTTATGTGTTGTTTAGACACCTTTAGGCATTACATATACGGGAGACGATTCGTTCTCATGGTAGACCCTACAGCTGTAGCGTGAGTCTTACAGAAGGACTTCAGTTTGACGGATCCTCCGATTGCGCGATGGCTGATCAGGATCCGACTTTACGATTATACTGTGGAAAGGATCTCAGGGACAAAGAACGCTGTAGTCGACGGACTTTCACGGATTCCGATTGAGGCGGAGCGAGCGATAACGGTTGCTGCACTGACTATGACTGAGCCTAGACGAACGGATCGCTTCCTAGTCAATCTCTATGAAGATAAGTACCGCACTATGGGACTGCATCTGTCGATCCGGAGATTAGAAGACAGGCAGCGCAGTATTGCCTTAGAGTTGGGCATTTGTTCCGCCGACCTGTGGGAGCAGGGATGCCTCTTCGGGTGATCTGTGACCCGGAGGAGAAGCAGTCCATAGTAGCAGAGTTACATGACGGTGTAGTTGGGGGACATAGAGGAGTAAAGGGGACATATGAGAAGGTCTGCAGACAATACTGGTGGGAAGGACAATACAAGGATGTTGAAAAGTACTGCGTGACCTGTGAGCAATATCAGAAGAGATCCCTTATCAGATATAAGGAATCGCTTCATCCTTCTTATCCCACTAGACCATGGGAGAAGGTACATATTGATCTGGTGAAAATGTCAAAGGGGTTGGGAAACATGAATTATGTAGTGAACATTAGAGATGATTTCACTGGGTTCGTTGACGGCAAGCCCATCAAGACAAAAGCGGCCAAAGAAGTAAGGAACTTTGTTCCTCGAGTATCTGTCTAGATATGGGTGTGTTAGTAAGATCGTGATGGATAGAGGGGCGCAGTTCCTAGCGGATGAGGTTCAAAGCGTATCGAAGAAGGCAGGAGCTAGAGTATCAATAGCTACCGCCTATCACCCTCAATCCAACGCGCCTGTAGAACGTGGACATCAGTCCTTGATTGCGTCCTTATCCAAGTGGTGTAGAGAGAAGGATAGTGACTGGCGGATAGGAAAAAGGGATAAAAACAATAGGAGGGAAGGGCGAAATGAGATATGCTTTCATTTATTTATTTTCTTCAGCATTTAATGTTTAATGAGATCCCCCTCATTTATTAATGTCTCCAACGATATAATTAAAATTAAAAAAAAGAATCAAAGATAATAAAAGTAAAGAAAACAAGGAAATTTGATACTTAATTGAATTCTATCGAAATTTATTTTTGATGGAATTGCTTTTATTTTTTTTATTTTCGATAATAAAATTAAGAAATAAGGAAAATAATTAAATATGATGAAAAGGGAAAAAACCCACGAATATTAGATGATTAACTAATATTTGCCCAAATTATTCGAGATCGGATTCAACCCCGGAATATTTATTTATTCTATTTCTGACGATTCTCTCTATTTTCCGACGATTGAGATTGCTCGCTTGCTCTACCTGATTTCCCTTATTCTTAGCCTCCTCGCAACCTGTGTGAAGTGGGTTATCGCCATGCTACTCGATTATGCCGCACGACTTCTTCTCGTCGGTGTTGTTGTTGCTTCGGTTCGGACAGATGGTTCGGGAGGCCTGGTGCTATTATGGGATTGCGACATTCTACGGTATTCGACACATTTCAGGCACGGTATTGGGTCGGCATCAATGTGGTACACGACGGTGCATTATCCTTTGGTTCGGAACAGGTTCGGAACAGGTTCGGTGTTGGTACGACATTGGTCGAGTACAGGTCTGGAAGGGGCGGGCTCCATCTACAGTATGATACTTGAGTTATTTGACACGCCGCCTGGTTTCGGTTCGATGCTTTGGCTTTGGTACGTTGATTGGTTGGACACTCATGCGGTACAGGAGTCGAGACGCTTGCTGCTCGGTACGGTGTTTAACATTGAATTATTACAGTAGCGGCGAAGGTCGCGGCTAATTGGGAACAGTTGTGCCAGGTTTGGTACTGGCAGGTAACGGCACAGGCGGCTGCAGTTCGAAACAACTATGTCAGACTCGACGTTGTAGACCTTGGTACAAATATTGGTCAAAACCACACAGGCGGTTCCGGTTCGAAACAGCTATGTTAGACTCGACGTTTTAGACCTTGGTACAAATACTGGTTGGTTTAATCTTGCTGCTAAGGTTCGGTGATTCGCCTGGAAATGGAACGGGCCACTTGCTGCACGATATGGTTTTCAGCGCCGGACTAGTACGGTTGCTGGTCTGGGCCGGACGTGGCACTGGATTTGGTAACGAGTACGGTACAGGTATTTGGGCAAAGATGGCACTGACCACTACAGTCTGACGCAATTACCTTTGGCATAAACGCTGGCCTGACAGCTAGTGATTTTGTTGGTCCTGCAGCGGGCACCGCTGTATCCACGCTAGCTCTACAACCCTGGTACCAAGGCTGATATTGTTGATATTGGTCGCGCATGCGCGCCCTTGGGGGCCCAGGGCCTCGGGTGTTGTAGGGTACAGACTGAACAGGCGACACGGAAAAGGGACCTTGCGGAAGCTGTGGTCACAGTCTCGAAGGAATAAAGGTTGGGGCTGACATGTGGGACGGGGAATTCGAGCGGTGGACTAGACGTGTGCCCGGTGTACCCAGCCCGCATGAGCATCGCCCTATTCAGGGGGGGGGACACACAGTGTGCCCGGCGTGCACAGTCCCAGTGCTTTGGGCAGGGATTGAACAGCCCAGATGGGAGCTCAGACCGCGGAAGCATGGACGTGGAGGATTCGGACTGGGGTGGTGGATTGAATTGTACCAGGCGTCCGCCGCCCACATGAACTTAGTTGACTTGAGCTCCAGAGATCTGAACTAGTGCTCGACAGCCCGCTTGGGGCACAAGCCACGGGAGCTTCGATGGGTACTTGCAAAGAAAGGAAAGGTCGGAGTGTCTGCTGTTTGCGGTCACTGCCCCTACAGTTGACTGGAGAGACTGGGATTTGACCAGCCACGTGTACTACGGTGAGGGAGAAGAGGAGAGTGAGGTGTACCCAACTTTCTCTGGGCAGCGTCCTGGCTGGTTTGCGCAGGGAACAGGAGCAGTCAACTGTGCACTAGGAAGAGAACAGACATGATGTAAGTGTCTATTGTTCCTCTCCCGCGGCACAGCTCGACTCGCCAAGAGGGAGCAGAGCGTCAGGCACTGGATAGGCAGGGGCGGCGTGCTAGGTGTGCTCCATCCACGCAATGTTGCGGAACGGAGGGGTATGGA